AGTGTTTATATAATGTGATCTACATAGTTCTGCTTAAGTCTTGGCAAACATGAGCTTTATCATGGCTATTTTAGCCTAGTCTTTGAAGGATTGGATCACTCCTTATGGCTAATTAATTATTTTTGGTTCCACATAAACCAATCACATGTATTTAATATGTAATATATATATATATATATAAGTATATAGTAGTACAGGTTATTGAGAGCTTAGTTCCCCTCGGCAGATCTACACAGCTAGAGGGGAAATCTCTTGTATCTTTTGTGGAATATGGACAGAAATAAGGGGAAGTGAGAGCAGCTGGCATGACCGCAGGCCTGTTACTATCATACCAGTACACCTCTATTCCGTTATCGGAGCCAGCCAGGGCAGTCATGAACAGCCAAGACCCCCTCGCCTCAATGGAGAGCTGAGGACAACCAGGACATACATTTACAGTGAAGGAACAAGGTTAAGGAGCAGTGGTTGTTGCAGAGCTTGTCTAAATCAGATTTAGGACCATGAATAACTGGCAGGATGCATTGCATTAGCTAGTCTCCTACAGTGGTCAGTCAAAACACATTTAAACGCCTTTTTGCTATTGTACCTCTGTTTTACCATTGCTCACTATACATGTAAAGAACCCTAAACCAACATTTGTGACCTTGTTGGTTTTGTCAAGCTGGTTTGATGATTAGGTACCTTTCAGCTATACCCAAATTAAAACCAATTTAACCAAAATTTAGCGTTTTGTCAAATATAGCTAGCTAAATTAATTAAACTGATTTGACTTTTGTTGGTTTCACTCTCATGTAGCCCTAAGGGACTTCTTACTTAAACCAAATATAGGGAGCAACAGGCAAGTTGCATATTGATTGATTATTAACAACTTTGTAGATATCAGATTGGTATATGGAGATGCTTACTATCATAATACCATTGTAAAATGACAAAGTTGTATCTAGCCATCTGTAGTCTGGACCAATGGAATGGAATAAACTGAGCTGGGATTTGAGGGGTGAAATGGTTCAGCTCTAAATCTGCATTAAAATCGAGTAGCGAGAGTTCAACTTAATGAGCAATGAAAGAAGGTAAACAGCGGGGGGGGGGGATGTTAGCCTCAGTGTTAAAGATGGAGAGAGAGAGACTAGAGAAGAGGGTCAGTGAGGTTGGCTGATGAAGACTGCAGGGGAGAACGGTGTTTGTTTGGCGTTGGAACTGATTAAATCACACTCTCACAGCAACACCGTGCCTATCACTTGCTCTGCCTGCTGTGGCAGGATGGTTGCTGTGCTACACTAGCTGCCTCTGTTTTCAGGCCACTGAGTGTAGTGGAGGTCACACAGTAATCCTGCTTGGCTGGGTGCAGTGCACTAATACACAGAAAGTTTAATGCACAAACAGGCATATTTACACGCAGGCTGGGGTTTTAGAAGACACAATGCACTTGCATAGATAAAGGTGTTATGCTGGCAGAGACTGCAAACGAGCAGACCTTCTTACACACTTGCACATGCAAGAGTCTCTTTGAATAAGAGGGAGGGCACTGAGCCCATTTTGTGATGATGATGAAGAAGAAGGAACGGCTTTGTTGTTGGTGTAATGTTGGTATTGACTTTGTTGTCTGTTTTATTATTGTTCTTCAGCTGTACAAGGCTGCTTTCTGCTCTTACTGCAAAATGTAGCTTGCTGTCTTAAGTAAGTAATCCCTCTTTCTCTCTCTCTTTTGTAGTTAATGAATATTAGCTTGTACATTTCTTTTGGTAGCCTATACTGGTATCTCTTTTGGTGGAGGAAGCCTACACTTTGCTTACACCCCGAGGACAGCTGCTATATTTCCTGCCTTTCATCTGCAAGGCCTTTGATTGTACATTGTCGCTACAATCTGTGTGTGAGGGAGAGGAAAACGAAACAGAGGTCGCTGCCTCAGAGTTCCTCATCTCTATAGAAAGATGTGCTCTTAAACAAATTACACTCTTTGAAGGTTATAGTGTTTCTTCTGTCATTTAAAATAAATTAAATTGACAAGTTAACATAATTTAATCCTTGTGTGGTGTGAGAAGACATTTTTCTCTGTAGCCAAGGCGTCACTACTGTCAGAGTGCAAACAAAACCTACTTGCTGTCAGCATGAACATCACCTTATGTGGATATGCAGCAAGACATTTCACCACTCTGAAATGAAAGGGAGCTGTATTCCCTAGTGGCAGCCGATGACATAACAATTTGCCTGGCTTCTGATGTAGGCTAATTAATAGCCTCAATCCTCTGAATATACTTTGTTTATTTAAAATATGTATGTAAATTCTGCTATAGACTGTCTTTTGGAGTTATTACATGTCAACATACATAGTCCTGCCAGAAGTAGACAATCTATGTGGGCATGCTGGATTGCTTAACTATCAGCATACTTGCAGAGAAGAATTTGCCAAGTTATGAAAACCTCCCTTTCCTGCTCTTTGTCTCTTTCAAAATCTGTCCCTAAACAATTTGGAACCTTTATTTAAAACCTCAACAATGAAAAGATGTCGTCACAAATCTCATCAATAAAGGTGTTCCACAGGGCTCTTAACTTGGCCAAACTCTCACCTGTATTTATATTTATTATGTCTTCTGTCATATTTCTGATGCGTTGATGCATTTTTATATAATGCTGCCTCTGATTCTGTTACTGCTCTGTCACCATGTTTCAAACAAAAATTCCTCTGAGAAAAGCTGCATAATAATCCTTTTTTTTGCACCGGTGAAAAATCTACCAATAGTAACCTGTCAATCACGTGGGAATCTGGATTTACTCTTAACTGTCAACTATTATAGCATCCATTTTCTTTGTGAAGTCAAGTCCAGACACTGGTTTTGCCCATTTATGTGTCTGTATACACACAGGCAAAATCATCATCATCATCATCATCATCAGCCTGCAGTCCACAGCAATGATGTCATTCTCATCCACAGATCTGGCTGCCAGGCTAGATCAGCATTCACCAGGCTGAGCTCTTTTTCTCTCATTATCTCTGCATCACTATGCCTCTGCCTCTCCTCTGGCATCACCCTTTCCATGTTTCTTTCACTTTATTCTTCCACAGCTCTCTGTATCATCTTCCCATGCTCTTTTCTCTTCTGTTTCAGCCCTCTGCTCTGTTAGTTGACCTGATTCTACCCTTTTTTTAATATATTCATCTTCCCCGCTGGCTTTTGGGGGTTACGGACTATTAGCGTCTTTCAGGCTTACCTCTTAGCTTTGCGTTCCCACTCTGAAACACAAGCACTTCCTCTTAAGTTCATTCTTTGAGTGTCTTTTTCTTTGGTCAATGCCATTAATAACTGGAAATTCTGCTTGATGTTCCTTCTGTTATTCAGTAACCTAGCTCTCCCCCCATGTCTTTGGGATTGTTTGATTTGCTGCCTTTCCTGTTATTTCAGCCTAGTCTGTCCAGAGGCTCTGTACCTTCCCCTTTAAAGGGATTACTTGAAGCTGGAGGTGTCAGCAGGTGGTCAGTATTGTAGTTGAGTATTGTTTGCTGATATGTAAATAGTCTAAACTGGTCTGTGGAGTCAGTCTGAATTGATTGTATGTGCCAAAGACATACAGAAGTACAACATTTGAAGAAATGTTTTTGTTCTTTTTATACTGATATTGTTATCGTAAAGCACTTTTTAGCATGTTTTAGAACTTTTGGTTTGCTTTGTTTTACAGATATTGAGAGAAAAACAAAACACAAGAAAAGAAATAAGCTAAATTTATTACATCACCCTGTTGATGACGGATAGCGTGGATTTTTCCTTCATCCCTTCCCTCCAATAGAAAGACGAAACAAGGAACTGCTTTGAATCTAGCCAGTGCCTCCCTTATACTAGATCATCAATTTCTGTCTCCAAAGAGGAAAATATTCAAGCATAGTTGACACCGCATTGTTTGACAGAGTGCTGTTTATGATTCTCCATCGTGTTTGTTTTCCATACTTAGAAAGAGGTTGGTCAGGATGGGATATTTTGATCCAGGGTTAGTGGCCTGAATGGACCAGAAAGAAAACAAGACATGTCTAGACCACAACCGTAAATGCTATTTAGTGCATATTTTTACACGTAAGCCTTTAAATGTGCTTTATAAAGTTCAAAATCAGGATAACATTGAGTGCCTGGATAAACTTTGAAACATTTTAAAGAGGCTAATTGGTAGTCTGAAAGCAGTTCTTTTAGACCTTTTTCAAGTGTGAGGGTTTTTCAAGCCAGTGTGTCTTTTATATGAAGAAAGTCTTGAAGTGAAATGGTGTTAACATAGGAGGCCGTGTTGCTGTCTCGGTTCAGGAGGTTTGTCTGATATAAAGCAGTGAGGATGTGTGTGTGTTCTTCTGGATTGATTGGGCTTTGTGTATCAGATTAGAAGTGTGTGTAAAAGGATATTGACCCGGTACTATGCACAGATTATGACTTATCTATACTAATCCAAGGTGGGGGGATGGACAGATACAAGGATACAGGAACAAGTAAATGCAAAACCTTGATCAAAATGTAGTTAGGAGGTAATTTTCCTAAGATTTGTTGAAACCGTTTTGCTCTAGGTTGACAGTGAGTTGTTTAAATGCACATTAATTTATGGAATAGAAGACATATCCTATTAAGATTGGATTGATCAGTAACCACTTTTAATGGTTTATATAGCCTCTCACTTATGCTAATTAGTGATGGATACTTCGAATTAGATTTTTTCAAAACCAAACATTAAGTGAGATGTCATGTTTACATGCCAGAAGATTCTAGCAGTAAATATCAGCTCTACCAGGCTAGTATGTTTACATTTTTAATATTCAGGTCATTGTAAATGTTTTATTTACAATGCTCATGTAACTTAATGACTTCACTTGACTGGAATGTAGGCACAGCAGCACTTATACACAATACTTTAATGTCCCAAATATAAATGTAATATTAATGTGCATGTAAACACACTGTACAACCCAATTTCAAAACCCACACAAAAAAGAAACTGCAGCACATAGTTAATTGGCAAATTATGTTTACCTTGTCTATGTAGTTTTGTGACTGTCCACTTGTCTTCTTCTCTCTGCTTGGCTGGCTGAGTGGCTGTTTGTCAACTACACTCTCAATACATCTGTCACCCCATCAAACAGTTGGGAAATTTACAAGCTCGACTAGGAACTCCCTTCTGTTTTAACAGACCTGCCAAACTCCTTCATAAGGGGGAGGGAGCTGTTGTTGACAGTGCCTTGCAGTTATTTACTGGGTGGAAGGAATGAGTGCTTGGAGCTTTGGGTCTCACGGTATTAAACAAAAGGCCAGTGGATTAGACTATTGTGTCATAATGACATGGAAGATGGCCAGAGTCGTATCCAGATGAGTTCATAGTTTTGGGTTTGGCTTTACTGAAGACACAGATGAAAGGAGAAAGCAATAATGCTGAAGTTGACGTCAAAGCCAGAGATTGTTCCTTAAGATTTAGATTGTGACTAATGTGTGTGTATGTTGCTGCTATGGTTTTTAAACCAGGCAAATCACACTTGTATTAATACTATTAACCTAAATCTAATGGTTTTTGTTAGGAAGGGTTGGTGGACGATGTATTTGTGATTCTAGAGATAGATGGAACATGCCTAGTCTAGCCACAGTCCATTCTGGAAACTGTACATGGTTATTTGTGACATTCGACTGCAATTAAAACTAGCTTGATAGTGATTTTTCTTAAGTGTGTGTGTGTGTGTAACTTAAACAGTCGGTGCAATATGAGCTACTCCCTTTCCCTATCTTATCCTTCTCTCACATGATCTCAGTATGGTTACATGAATTTTTACAGGTCACTAACACCTGGACCTTTGCATTTCTGCTTGCTTGTAATTTTGCTGTCTTGCCAAATGAACTCGTGGGTACGGGTTTATGGGAAACTGTATAGCATAAGTGTCACATAAATGTCTAAAAGGTACATGTAAAAATTGAATTGTGCTGTAAGAAAAAGTCAGGATGGCCAATGTCAATTAGCCTGCAGCATAATCGGTGTTGATTCAACCCCATTAATAGCTTATCCCCCACCCTGCCTTGCTGCCGTCTTCTATACCATAACACACACAGTCTATACCATCCCCCTCCTCGGCTTTGCTCCCCTCTCTCATGTGGTCATACACACATTCACTCACATACCAGTAGTTTCACTACTGGTTAGGTGCATAGATGTCCTTACATGAAGGGCAGAACTTGATGAGCTGCAGAATGTAAATGTATTACATGATATGGAAGTCTGACCTATTGTGTATGGGTAGTTGTTGTTTTGCTAGCATTCTTCTGGTAAGTGTTGTCCTCCTGGTGTTAGTGGTCATTTATTCTGCCTTGGACTTTGCATCAAAGAGCCTCCTTGACTCCAACACGAGTCAGAACAGAGAGGTTCCTCTTCTGTCTGACAATGACACATTTCCTTGCTGAAGCCAGGGATTCAGTCTGCTCTTCGCAGACTGAACCAGAGCTTAAAATAACCTCCAGTTTGGTTTAACCCTTTGGGGGTCAGTGCTACTGCTAATGGGATACACACTCAATCAGGATTGACAAGCCAGCTGCTACTGTGGGGCATGGAAAACCAATTTTTATCCCATCTCTTGTACCTTCTGTCTCTAATGTGTTCTGTCGGTCTTTCACTCTCATTTTGTGATAATTTCCCTCTCTTTCTTTTAACACTTGTTTATTTTCTCTCTGTATGTCTCGCTCTTTTTATTTCCTGTGCTTCTTCCCTTTGCTCACATGAAAGGGAAACAATTTCTGTGTGATGATTTTGTGTTAGAGTAGAGATCAAAAATGATCAGAGTGAGCGTACATTATATGCACATAGCTGTAATGTTGGATTTGCCAGATGATACACTGAATGAAAATAATCTAACGTCCTTTAGGGTTTGTTATTGTTGTAATTATGTCTGTAACTGGAGTTGCAGAGGAAAACGCTGGGTGATTATTTCCACCACTAACCGAAACAAACTTCTCCTGTGGTAGATTTTTTACCTTTTTAAAAAAGTTTGATGGTGAACATTAAAACGCATAAACACGTAAGTAATCAGTTTAACAGTTGGGTCAAGCTTTCTTGTTTGTTTTTGTTTTTTGAAGTACCAAGATTCTTGCATCTTGCATGCATCTGAACACCCAAATGTTTACAGAATCTACATTATCTGCAGTCTATTACATGGAGAGGATTAGATTCAAATAATTTTGAGAGCTTCTGCTTTGACCAATCATACAAGAAAGACAAATTGTCAGAAATGAATAACCCAAATGATGAAAATAAGGTTCTTCAAAGAAGCCTTGCACAACTACTAAAAATGAAATGGCTGTGACCTTATAGTTGGCTATGTTACCGCTTGATAAAAGCACATCTCGGTTAAGTAACTTGCACATTGCACATTTGTTGACATTGTCAGAGTGCTTCTCTCTGATTGGCTGGATTATTTGCTGATTTGGACTACATTTCTCAGTGGGGACTTGTGCTTTATGTCCAGGAGGTTTATTAGAGAGTGTCAGGTGGAAAAAAGCCTGCATGGTCCTGAAGCTTGGTTGAATATGAACTCCTGGGTATTATAAGTGTGCATGTTTTTTTGGGGGTTTTTTTTGTGTGGGTTAAGGTCCACATACTTCACATTCAATCTGGAGATATAAATTCATAGTGCAGAATGACAAATTGGCATGAAGCTACTGATTGTCATTGAAAGTGAGTCTCCAGGGCTAGGAGTCAGAACATAATCCATGTATAATTTTCCTGCATTGATTTGTTTTCATTATCTGTCAAAAGCTATCACTTCTCTCTTTAGTTGTTATAACTCTGTATGATATGAAAGAATTAATGTTGAGTAGGAGAGAGGAAAAAGGTCAGACTGCTCTCGTCTTCTTTGCAAAAAAAGCATGTGATAATGTGTTAAACTGCGCAACTGCAGCTGAATTACTGTTTCAGAGAGGCCAAATTGTTAGTGATCCTGAATATTATTGAAGAATTGTTCATCATTGTTGTCCCTCGGGTTCTGTTTGTATATGTGTATGCAGTCATGTGAAGACGTTGTCCTTAACATCCTTACAGCATTGAGAGCAAGCATGAAGTCACCATCCTCAGCGGACTCAATGAATTTGTAGTGAAGTTTTTCGGACCACAAGGAAGTAAGTGTTTCTTTCTTCTGATTTAACAACAAAGATTTCCCCCACGTTTCCTCTCCTCCTCTCACATTACAGTTAGTTGTAAAACCAGATTCACATTGCTGTTAAAAAACGATAATCTGACCACATCTCATGTTTAGTTAAACCTATAAACAGAGCATGAAGTGACAATGAATGTTGTTGACAGCCATTCTCCTGTTAGGAACATAAAGAGAGGTTCGTCACAGCAGGTCTGGGACGTAAAATGGATTGAAACCAGGCCTGAGGCCACAAAGTGTAAAAAAAGAGGAGACAGGCTTGAGGGGAATTTGAATGAGGAGTGCGGCCTCATCAGCAGGAAATACTCCTTTCGTATGCTGTTCGCAACATCTGTCACACTAAAACCACTGCCACTTATGCATCAGTAAAGAGAGGAAGTGGGTGTTTGACCCTGTTTATGATGCCTTGAAACTATGCCGTGTGTGTGTGTGTGTGTGTGTGTGTGTGTGTGTGTGTGTGTGTGTGTGTGTGTGTGTGTGTGTGTGTGTGTGTGTGTGTGTGTGTGTGTGTGTGTGTGTGTGTGTGTGTGTGTGTGTGTGTGTGTGTGTGTGTGTGTGTGTGCCGCATTCATCCTCAACAAGTGTGTCATCTATGGCGCTGTTGAGTTTCAGTACGGCACATAAGGGTCCTGTTACACACAGCTATTCTGGGAGAGCATCACACATCTCATTCTCTTCCTCTTTGATGTCAGTGTATTATATGAAGCGATTTGGAAGTAAAGAATTCTCCAGGGCTGAAACACATTACTGCATAAAAGAAAAGAAAATGGCAAAGGGAAAAGTGGTACGTGTAGCTCATTTCTGAAGTGCCCCTTGCTCTGTTGTTTCTGTGCAGAGAAGAAAGGAGTGCAAAAAATTGATATGACCCTACAGTGTCTAAATCCATTGGAGTGCATGAAGGATGGAATATGATGTTCAGTGGAAGGAAAGTCTCTCTTGTGTCCTCAACAGTGCTCTGTCATTATTTTTTCCCCTTCTCATGTACAGCGCCGTACGAGGGAGGTGTGTGGAAGGTGCGAGTAGATCTTCCTGACAAATACCCTTTCAAATCGCCATCAATAGGTAGGAGCTCTGTTGCATGAAGGATTACCAGATCAAAACTTTCCACTTGAATTTGTATTTAACATTGTTCTCATATCCACCTTGCCTTTTCAGGATTCATGAACAAGATTTTTCATCCCAACATTGACGAAGCGTAAGTTTATTTCATGTATTTAAAGTGTTTTGGGTGGTATTCTGTTACTTTGAGACTACAATGCCACTGTAGACTGTTGAAGTAATGATCCATATACTCATAAAGCTCATCTAATGATATTTGCTTGTTAATGTGTTGTAAACAGCCAGCTCTTTTTATATTATCTACTAAAAGCCCTGGCTGAATTGATATTTCCTAGTTTATGGAAAGTTCTAGGCTGTTAAATAGTAAAAAAGATCAATTTATGTAGTGAACTACACTTCTAACTTTTTTTTATGAGCCACCAGTTTCGACATAATCTGCTAACAGCAGCATATCACACAAATATTGAACCTGGCCAAGGTCTTTGTTTCTCTGGGCCTGTTAATCCACTGCTTAGAGGCCAGATCCTCTGAAGGACACGGTCTGTAAAAGGTTGGTCTCTGGGAGGACCTGATGGACAGGCTGAACCTGTGCCTCATCCCCAGGTGGGACAGTCTTGACTCACAATGGCAGAGAATAATGGTGCATTTAGGTGGGTCTCATGAGGAAGTTTTACATCATTGTTATCACCAGGAAATACCAGTGGTAAACAGGGGCAAGTTCCATGTTACAGTACATAATGTATAAGGTAAACTGTAAATAAATCAATTTAACTTTAATTTTTCTCTATTGATTTGTGGTTAACCTCTTTAGCCAGCTAACAAAAGTAAACAGTGTCTATGTAATGCTTCTATTATTCAAACCTTGCTTTGTCATTGCTCTACTTAAAGTAATATATATGTACCCGTGACTGAACCATTTGAAACTACCTGGTATGTCCAACCTGGTCACATGATATTTCACATTTGCAAAGAGAAAGGCCTTGTTGGACTTGTCTGCACTGATTATTAATGGATCCACATTGACATGCATTGCATTCAGATTACCTTTAGCCGTACTCCTCTAACCCTGTTTTCTTCTCGGTTTCCCAGGTCAGGGACAGTGTGCTTAGATGTCATCAACCAGACATGGACAGCCCTTTATGGTGAGTAGCCCCACTGCCTACGTGTCCATATTAAGTTCCCTCACTGGGGTCTGTGTGATTATGTGTGAAGAACTTGACACAGTGCCATCAGCAGCAGAAAGCTGACTGCGGGCCCCTCTCTAGCAAGCATGGGCACACTGAGCAATGGTGCACAATTGTCCCTAATCTACTTACTGAGGGGAAAAGTGAACACTAACGAGGTAATACCCTCACCCAGCGAGGTCAGAGAACATTCACCTTCGACAGGAATGATTTACTGTCTGTCAGCTGTGAGAGACAGACGTGCTCACATACTCCCGATGGCAGCAATTGTACTTGCTGTTTTTCACCCAGTTGCTCTTCTCACCGTCACCGTGTCTCTCTCTGCTGCTCTCCATGCCCCTGTGCCCTTCTCCCTATTTCCCCATTAATTCCTCATTAAAGCCCCTCCACAGGGCTAGGATGGCTGTTGAGCAATATAAATGGCTTTACAGTATTATCCCAAGCATATGTTTCAGCAGCCCTCCCTATTCATCAGTGTTCTAGGTATGACTAGGAAATGGTATGGCAGCTAATTTGCTAATTGATCGATGTTATCAAGTGAGGTAGCTTGGCCTGTTTTTCACCAGAATCAAGTCAGACCCTTGGCACGAATCATATTTGTGTTATTTTACCTTTTTTGTTTGCAATCATGTGAAATGCTGCAGATTTTGTTGGGTTGATTGTTTGAGGAGAGAAAATCCGATTTGACAAACATGGAAAGAATAGGCCAATCAACCAAGCATTGTTTGTAATGACTCTCTACAAAGCAAGAGGGAACAAAAGCAACTGATTCAATTGGCCAAACATGATAATACTGTACAATAGACTGTAGGGAAGGCTGTGTTTTCCCAACTTGAACGGACCCAGCGGTGACACCTAGGAGACGAGAGCAGAATTGCAGGTTTTTCTTACTAGGCCTCAGCTCTGAGGGAAAGCAGAGGCCTGCTAGCAGAGAGCTAATGGAAGGGGATTAATGTGGTTCCAGTGTCTGTGGGTCAGGCTGAAGATTTAACATGTGGGTTCTTGTTGTTAGCATATACACCACACCTCTTTGATCCTTTTGTACGGTCATCACTGACTGATATGTGTGTAAATTGATGAGCTTTTTTTGTGGCCAATTAACGGAGGCAGCTGTTTTGTATTAGAGCTATAATTGATGGAATATTGGTTGAGCATTTCTCCATCAGCTTGTTTCAGATTAACAGTTAGAAATGGGAGAAGCTTCACAGTAACTGCAAAGTGTCACTGAAGTGATCACCAGATTATATAATTGTCTGATTACTCATTTCTTTCAGTTGGTAAAGTGATCATCTGGTTTCTTTCTTCTTCCCCAGATCTGACCAACATCTTTGAGTCGTTCCTGCCCCAGCTGCTGGCTTACCCAAACCCCATCGACCCCCTGAATGGAGATGCAGCTGCCATGTACCTTCATCGGCCAGAGGAGTACAAGCAGAAAATCAAAGGTTCAGCCTAAATCTGTTGCCTGTAGATCCTTTTAGATTTTTAGATTATTGCACACCTGGGGGAAAAAAAGTTATTTTCCCAAATATCTGTCAAAATGTGGTGTCAGTCTTTCCTGTCTGACCATGTTCTTTCTCTCCGTCTGTCCCTCCCACAGAGTACATCCAGAAATATGCAACAGAGGAGGCTCTGAAGGAGCAGGAAGAGGGGGCAGGCGACTCTTCATCTGAAAGCTCCATGTCTGATTTCTCAGAAGACGAGGCCCAGGACATGGAGTTGTAGTGATAGGAGGGCTCCCCCATCCCGCCCCCTCCTTTAACCCCCACAGAGACTATATTTGATTTCCTAACCATGACAAAGCAGACTTATAATATTCATATTTAAACAAGTTGATTTTTTTATTATTATTATTACTACTAAACAAGGATTTTTATGGATATCTAGCCTTTGGTGTGTTTGACACCCCTTTCATTCTGTAGCTGTTTCTCCCTACACAGATGTTGCGATTGCTTTCACAGTCTCTCTCCATCATCTCCGCATTTTTACGGTGTGTCATGTAGATGTAGGCAGGAAATGGCCCCATGAACATCTCATTTCTTTACTCAAATTTCACTTTTTATAATATAGCTTTCTAGTTTGACCTGAATCCTGATTTCCTCTCTTTTTCCACATGGCTAATTGATTCTGACCAACATTTTGTTAGTCACTCCACTTCAGAGCTGCTTAGGTCTTGCTTGCCTGGGCGCGCGCAGCTTCACGATATTATCCTGTAGTCAAGACAGTATTTTTAAGGCGCACTATCGCACACGAGGTGTCTTAGCACACTGTACAGAATAATAAAAAAAAGAGTAGTGCCAATAGACACTCATAAATCAACCCTGAATGCTTCCTAAGCGTATCTTTTTCAACATATTGTTTGAGACATGTCAGCAAAAAAACTAAGAAGTTTGGATGCTACCTACATATGTTACTTAACTTTTTTGTTACTCTTTGTCAACCTGCTGCAGCTACCTGTCTACGTGTGCCGCTGTGCAGTGCGAAATAAATTCTTACTAAGGTCAAGTCTTGGAAAACATTAATGAAACACATGTCTCAATACAGGGGTGAGTGACAATGTGGTGACAAAGACTAGTTGGGTGCTTTTTCGGTGTTGATTTGTGCAATGTACACCAGCTGCATGATCTGTATGGCAGAGGCAATGAAGACAAAAGCAGCTTTACTCGAATGCATTCGTGGAGATTCTGGTCAGACTCACTTGGTATCATGGGGAATGGAGCAGAGCCACCCTTTTAACCATCTGACCATGTATGAATTTCATGTTTCATGCTGATCGCACTAGTTTTCTGTCAGGAGGCAGCTGTAACACTTGATGCCACTGTCTCACAATGACCTGTACCTCTGCAAATTTATATTGATATTAATGGCCAAGAGCAACTTTCCAGGTATAGAAAGAATGTAATTAACACCTATTCTGGTGAATTTAGAAAACCAGCACCTATTTAATTTCAGTTAAAAGCAACAAAACTGGTCAGATGGTTATGGAGTGAATCTGAGGGGAAAGTGTGATTTATATTGGGGATTCAGGTTTGTGTAGTATCGGTCCTCATCACATTCCACTGTTAACTGGAGTTCGCTCCAATGCATGCCCTTCATATTGGTCTAACCTGTGGTATGTTACCCCGACTGCATCAACTGGACTCCCACACTTTATGTCTGCCTACCAGGATGTCTCTGTTTGGATCACTAGTTTAAAGAAGATTACAGAATAAGAGCCCAATTTATGACCTTTAGGCTTGTAGCAATTTTTGTTTGATGGGAATTAATTTCACATTAATTTCATATGTACAGATTTGACCTCTTACCCAAACTGGCGTGATTCAATGTGGCGAGTTGAGATGTAAATCCGTGATGGTTGGAGAGTGCAATCGCAGCTTTGATTTTTGCCTGTTTTTTTGTTTTTTCCCCTCATTTTATTTCTTGTACATTTTTCTTGCCCGATGGGGGGGTCAACGCGTTCGGATTCTTTTTTTTTTTTTTTTTAATGTACAGCATCTACCTTGTACAGTGATAAGAACACCTCTTTGTAGCCTCATGAAAACTCAGTGTTGAACCCAAAACACTGACAGAGTGTTGCTTGTCGAGGCTAACGTGGCAGTCAAACTACCTAGAAAACCTTGAAATGTATTCACTTCATAGATCGCAGTAGGAATCACTGGTTGCTATGTGACAGATTGTGGATCCTGAATGGGAGATTCAAGGCTGAATCCTACTCAGGAGGTCACCTTATCACCTCTGATATCGACTCTTCTGTGCCTCATCACAAAAAGGAAGGTGAACTTTGAAGAAAATCCCCAAAAACCATGTTTCCAAAAAGCCATGAAAGTCAAACGTGACTAGAAAAGCACATTGTTTTTATTAATCCTACTTTTATTCCCCTCTTCCTGAAATTTGATCTCGTGCTATTTGTGATTTGACATCTAAATTTTCACTCTGTGTTACAGATAAGGGGAGTGACCCAGGGCTGAGTGGCGTTGGGTTTATTTGAGCTAATGTAGGATTGTTAGACTTTTATGGCTCAGGTTTGAAATACAGTTTGGTTGTATCTTGCATTGTGATTAACATTTTCACTCGGGACGTATTGAAAGGATGGAAATCATGCTAATATTTGTTGAGCTGTGTTTTTGACATGTCAGGATAGTTAGTTTTGCTGGGTGTTGACTTCAACTAAACAACATATGCTATATGGCTGTATTACAGATAGTTAGATAGTTTCGTATACTTACCTGATAAAGCATTCATTGCTCACCTGATTTTTAGTTAGTGTCTGTTGTGTGGTTATATGTAAGATACTCCATAGACATGCCTGCTTGTCCTCTTCTTGCAGATTCAGAGTTGTACAGATGAGTGTGAGTGATTTCAAACTATGGTGACGTTTGACCTGTAGTGAGCCTGATAGATCTAACTTCACAGGAATCAAAAAGTGTGGTCCAGCCCTTTTCAAGACATTGGACATTCTCTAAAAAAAAAGATGATTTAAAACCCAATTCTATGCCCAAAATGATCTCCACGCTTGAATGCAGATTTAGAACACAGAAACCTTCCTTAATTTGTTTTTAATTTCCAATATTTATCTGAAGTTTGATTGTTTAAAGCTATGGGATAATAATTTCTCTCATCCAGCCCCGGGGGAAGTTTTGAATGTTAGCTCGGGGGTTAGCTTTCAGCAGGACGCAGCCATTTTAACTGTTGCAGAGCTAACGTTTTGTGATATTCAACATGTTGAAGGCAGTATAAAGCTATGTGAATGTTTTACATGTGTTCAGAGTTGCTTGTGATCCACATCCACTCAAACAGAACAAACCTGCAAATTGTATGCAGATCTCCACTCTCACAATTGGCTTGTGTTTTCTCCCTAAGCTGCCTATAAATGTGTATTTATTCATTAAAGAGACCTCCTTTTTTTTTTTTTTTTTTTTTTAAATCTTGGTCATCAGGCACCACTGTTGTAAGTTATGGTTCAGCTAAATTATCACACTGATGACAACGTGATCTTCAGTTTTTGTGTTTTTTAAGTAATTCAGATTGGAATTCTTGTTTTACTTTACATTTGTGCAGTATTGTACCTGAGTGCTGAAAATATCCGAGTTGAGAATTGTAATAAAATAGCACATTATGATGCAGTGGTGCAACAGGGAAATGATGATATTTTTGTCTTTTAAAAAAAAAAACACAAGACTCTTGTGTTTGGATAAAAATCATAGGTTTGGTTTTCAGCATTATTTGCATCTGCTGGGCAATAAATTGATGATGTACTCAGCTGTGGCCTGGTGCCTGGTGTGAACACAACAACCATCTGATCTTTTCAGTGGCCTCCCTTCTCTTTTTTTTGTTTTTTTTACTCTCCAACCTTACTTATTCAGTGTCAGGAGAAATAATTACTGCCTTTTTTTTTCAGGTTGTCTTCAATTCAAGAACTAAAGAAAATATGTCCTCAAATAAGTGACTGGTTATGCCTCCTGTTGCAACTCAAATTCTAAATTATTTTTGAAGGAGTATAACAAAACCTGCGTATTGTGCTTTTACATAATTTCCTTTTGGATTTCTCTCTTCTCTAAAACCACAGGTGTACAGATAACTACATCTTAACTACCCACAGTTTTAAACAGTGACTCCAGACAACCACAATAACATGATGGGATTGATTGGGGCCTCAAAATTCTAACTGCAGAGAAAGTTCAGAGCCTCAGCCCCACAACCGTACTCGCAACACACACACACACACACACACACACACACACACACACACACACACACACACACACACACACACACACACACACACACACACCCTCTGCCGGACACAATAAGGATGAAGGATCTCAGATAAGTGAATGGACTGTTCTAGCATTAATCCATAGACAGGACGTCCAGGGCCCCATTCTCCATTTTATCTGCAGAGAGCCAGCACCCTGATCCTGTAATATCACCTCCCCCCATGTGTTGACGGTGTCTCCTTGTGCACTTGCATGCTTCTGGTGTGGAGTCGAGGCTCGCTTGGTGCACACCACCCATTCTGTCTTGTGCTTGTGTGGATTTGTGCCCTGTGCTGGCCTTCTGCTGCCATCAGGGGATATAGCAGCCACACACAGCATGGAAAATGGCAGTTTTTTCTTTTTTTTTTATATAGAAACTATGTATTTGTTACCTAGTGTGTGATACTTGAGGGTTAAAAAGTCAAAAGGTTTATTTTTTGTTTTGAAAAGTCCATCCTTGGTCTTATTTTTATCGCCCTCTTTGCCCTCCTCTTGTTTTTTCTTTGCATTGTGAAGTGGGCATGCTTGTCAAAAAGACAAAATGCTCTCTATTAATAGGCTTATAACCTCATAAATAGTTGTGTATAAAATAAACTGTTATAACTTCTTTTTTAATAAAACATTCAATGTGTATAAATGGTCTTTGTCTGAGGCTGATTCTCGTGTGTTGCAAATTAGTTTATAAAAGATTTTAGGACTTTACTGTACATTTTCATCAAAATTGTGATCTTTTTTCATCTGTGAGGGTTTTCTTTTCTCCTTTTCCTCATTTCATACAAGCTGGAACCTGTGGATTCCTATCATCTGATGAGTATGTCTGAATCTCCCTTTATGATACTATCTTTCAAAGAGCTGAATTCCAGCTATGTTAGATGGATGGATGGATATCCTGATGTCCTTTTAAAAATATTTAGAGTGAACAATTCCTCTCCTCTCAAACTCACCAGTTATTCAGTAACCGAATCAATGATCGCATTAGTGAAGTGAAAACTGATCATTACATTTCACACAGCCAGTGTAGCAATGTTTTGAAATTGTACAGTTTGCTTTACAGGTGTGCCTTAATGTAAAATTTTACATTTTTAGACATGAGGAAAATTAGACTGCTCGATATACCCTTTACACAAGAATTGAATACTTATATTACATAACTGTAAAAGGTTTTTTTTGTAAACTTTTTTTACTCTTATCCAGATAGCTATTCTTTATTGCACATGACAATAAAACATTTGAATTTTAAATCTTAAAACCACAAAAAAAAGAATAAATACCACAAATACCACATATGCTGCACAATTTCCACACTTTGAATCTAGATAAGAATATTACATTTTGTCTTCCTCAGAGAGGTGGCCTGTAATAGCAGTGCTTCCACAAGGTGTCAGTGTGGCTCTACTCTCCTGTGTGGAGACTCCAGGTCTCAGCCAGTACAATATGGGCCACTGTCTGGCATGATCCCTATGAGTGCTGTGAAACTTGAGAATGAGGTTAGAACCCCGCTACTTCCAGTCTTAAATGGGGGTGATGAATGACTACAGCCATCCCAAACATACAGCACTGGCTACTAAGTTTTCCCCCAAAGCCAACATTAAAACATTGTCTTTTGGCAGTAATTCCGTCATTGTAACCCGTGACATTGAATGACCGGTGTCTCAACCTTTCAAAGTACTGGTTGGGTTTATATAGCATTGCATAAGTCTTGTATACTGCAGTGATCTGTGCCAAATCTGCTAAGCATCTGAGCTTCTGACTGGGGTTTTATTTTGAAGGGGACATTGGACTGTGTGAGATTAACCTTGCTGTGAGGGCAGCCTGCACAGGCAATGATAGATGCAGTTTTATAAGTGAGCCAGGCGAGGGCGCTGCATTGTCCATCCTCCTCTATCCTCAGCTGAAACCCCCTCTGTATAATCACAGCAGGGGAAAATAAATGCTGTGACATAAGGCTGTTTAATCCCCTTTCCTCTGAAAAATGTATTCTGTCACGCAGCAATCTGCCCACTCTTCCTGTCTGTCTTTATTTCTGTGGCAGCGCTGAGACATGAAATTACTCCCCAGTTTAATATTTCTTCTTGTGTTTGGCTGAATGATCACCGTGCTTATGCTTTTTTGTTTGGTTGTATATTGTGATAAACTGAGGAGGTCAAAGTTCAGTCTGCCTTGTCCATATTAAACCACTGTCCTTTCTCTCTGTCAGGGGAAGATGTGGGGGTGGCATTTGGGGCTCCAGCTCAAATGTTTTCTCAAAACCCCTGATAGGATAGAAAGGAAAGAGTGAAGTGAAGAAAAAAAGTACTGTCAGAGGATATGTTTATCCTACACTGTTATTCCTTAACGAATGTAATATAATTTAAATTCTAGAGATGTTCTTCTGTTTTCCTAATATTTCGATTCAGACTACTGAAGACCAGATTTACTTGGTATTGTTGGGGATTCGCAGATTATTATGGCCAATTTTTCAGGTCAGCATTTATTCAGTGAATTCTGCTCCATCATAGTTAAACAGAAATAGGTTTCAGGATTAGCAATGCTGTTCATACCAAATTCCTACCCTACCTAGGTTATATAACTTAAAAAATAATAACATCAGACAGTTTTTGCCTCTTTTTAGATACAGAATAGGATGTAGGCTCCACATGATGACTTTATCATGTTTTTCTATAATGTTGCATATATTTATAGGAATTCTATTATCAAAATGGACTTGAAAAATAGTGCATATAGTTGCCTTAACCCAAGACTCCCCAAATGTTTACAATATCTCTGCCCCTGCTGTCATATACACAAAAAGACAAAATACCAAGAACACCTTCAAATGTAATGCAGTTACTACAATAAATTACCAGAATAAGAGTTGTTTAATCTTTCTTGACATTGGATTAAATTGCCTCGCAGTAGGCCGATATAATAAGGTACTCTTCCTCTATACACACCTCTATCTCTGTATACTGTAGGCCTACATCCTGTGCCAGGCCACAAGCTCCAGCGTGTCCAGATCAGAGCCCTAGAGGGTCTTCAGTCCGGGGCCAGGAATGTCAGTCAGGTGATCGACGCGTGTCTGTGTTCCTACAAAAGGCCTGCAAGACAATGATTCTGCAGATTGGAGATGGCTGTTATAAGGGAAGATGTGTCACTGAATCACCAGACTGTGGGGTACAGATTAAAGGAGCCCTTGCCAAAAATCTGAAGTCTCAATTCCAAGCAGGGATAGTCCAGTAGTACTGACTATGACAAGAAAACCAACCTTTATTTTGTAGAATTGTTGTTCCCCTCAAACAAGGTATAAGAGGAGTGCTAGAGCATTATGTTTAATAAATAGCATCCAAGCAGGCACAAGTCAGAGCAGCATGTTGGAAATATTTGAGAGTAGCTGATGACTTGCTGGAACAACCTTATAGTCGGTGTACTTCATTCAAGTCCCATGGTTGACTCTGTCAGCTGAAAAAAACCCATCCCTCTGTTTTTACCCTGCTATCCCTTCTCCTGCATCAAAAGAGGAAGAGGAGGAGGAGGATGAAGGGAGGGTGGGAGGGAGGGAGGAGAGGACGAGTCTATCTGTCTCTTCACAGTTCCTGACCTCCAGAAGTCCAGCAACCTGAGAATCTCAATGAAATATTTAAAGCTTCTGTTTTATCCGCAGTGCGTTGGTCAAGACAAACTGTGGGCCTCCATGACGTAATGGCGGCTGCCTGATTGGTCCTCCCTGAGCAGGGTGGTCAGGTGACCTGCGCCGCTGTGGCCTTTTAAGGCATTACGATGCCCCGAGGCTCCACATTAGGCTCATGTGCTGTCTGCTGCGAGTTATGATCAATCACTGTTGGCTGCAGCATTTTCCATAGCAAAGCTTTTAGCAGTATGCATGCATTCTTTAATGAAGGCCCCTCGGAGCTCAGTTCATACTCATCTAAGTTTAGAAAACAGTCAGTATGACTGTTGGCATATTCCATCATGTATGTTTTATGACATGAGGCCTCCACAGAGCCACAGTGCACGGTGCAGTCATGGACAAAGATAGACTACCTAACATACGTCGCCAGAGTTCATTTTGTTTTTCTGTTTTTTTCCCCTTTTCTATTCCCCCAAAACACCTTGCTGCGGGTGAGCTGACAGTTAACCAATCTGGGTGAACCATCACGGACATGCAAGCTGTGTGTTGGGTTTCTTAAACTGGGGCTGGGTGGCAGGCGATGGGCTCTCTCAGGTTACAAGCTCTGTTTCAGTGGCAAAGTTGGGGGGGTGGATGACGTGGTGGTGGTGCAACAGCAGCAGCAAGCAATACAATGATCCCTGGGTTTTTACTAATGGATGACCCACTGACTAACATGCCCCCAACTACCCCCACCACCACAACCCCCACCACCAGCAGCACCAGCAGCACTACCACCCACCCTCTCCTTTGGTGCAGCAGGGGGAGCAGAGCAGCAGCAGACAGTAAAGGGGACGGTGCTGGTGGTCGCAGGGGTGTAGTAGACCCTGCAGAATGTGGTTTGTGTGGATGCAGTCAGTGGGAGAGAGCAGTTTTCAACATCAATAAAATACGTTAATATGAATTAAATGTTTTTGATCAGTTTTTCTTTTATACTGTCTGCTTTTTCAATATTAAACTGACAGGCAGTTGTCGGATGTGTATTATTGCTGGCCTTATTTTATGACCTTATTTTCATCTTTACAATGTTTTTATTTTCCTGAGTAGTGATGCTGCATGTGCTGGGGGCAGTAAATAATCCCCTGTTCAGTAATCCTCTGCAGAAGTAACGCCAGTTGGAGGTAAAATAAAAATAATTTCATATCAGGAGAGTTATGAATTAACATTTTTCCTACAGAAATTGTTCATCATAACTCTTATATTTGATTTTATATCATTGAAAATGTCTTATTTCATGTTATTGTAATTTCATTTTTGTCCAGTATGCCCACTATTTAGAAAACCATTTACAACTAGTTTATTCAGTACATTCTCCTGTAACATATAGCCTAACATAAGATCATAAAGTTCATAGGGATAACTGATCTTTTTCAACATTTTTTCAGCATTTCTGGGGCGATGGATGATGAAACATGGCCTCTGCCTCTTCAAGAGCCCTGCCTTGCATCCTCTTGTAAAGTGATCTCTATTGTTGCCGTTTAGTTGTTTCTTTTGGAGCAGCCGTCTGAATCTTGCCGCATTATTATTTAATCCGGCGTCCTATCATATGGCCTGGATGATGGATCCCTTCACTGGAGACGGGTGGCGGCACGAAAGCGCAGCGCCCATCCGATCCCTCTGCTGGCACCTGTTTCATCATCTGGCTCCGGCACGACAGCACAGAGCTAAATGAGTGTTTTAAATATTCATCGAGGGCTACTCATCTCCTATACACACGTCGGCCTCCCGCACAGATGATCCGCGGCTCCGGTTTCAGCTTCTCCAGGTGGAAACCACGTCAAGGCTTTGGAGAGGCTCCGGGCTCCTCGACGCTGAGCTGCAACGACGACTCACTGCGGATTGATTTCACTGTCGCTATCCACCCTGAAAGGAGTGTAACCAAACCCGGCCCCGTCACCTCTAAATATTAGACGAGTTTTATCCACCTAGTTATCTGCCTAATTATCAACAGCAGGTAAATAGACTCTGGCAGGCCATCTGAGAGGAGCATG